TAAAAAAAAAATAATGAGGGGGCCGAATTATATTGGGCCACGTGTAAAAAATGATTTTGCAAAAAAAGTTTGTTCAGAATTTTGAATTTTTATTATAAAAAAAATAATGACGTGGCCGAATTATAATTGGCCACGTGTAAAAAATGGTTTTGTAAAACTACCGTTAAAAAATAATGGCATGAATGAGCCTTTTCTTAAACGGTAATGGCATAGATGAGCCAAACTTTTAACGAATGGCATAAATGAGCCTTTTCTGAAAGTTCGATGGCATATTTGAGCCTTTTCCCTATCTTATATTTCGATCTCACATGTAAAATTAAATTTATGCTTGAATTGTGATGGAGTTGTAAGTGTTTCTTTAATCACAGTTTGGATTTGAATTCTCCTTAATGATGGTGTTGGCTTTGTTTGAACAAGTTTTACTTCTCATTCAATCTGAATTTAATCGTGCTCCAATGCGAATATCAGAAGACGAGACAAAAAAAAAACAAACCAAAAAAGACAAAGGTCATTCTTGTAATTACAATTGAATTGGAACTGGCCAGCAACAATTTATTAGGAAGAGAAGTTGAAATTCAACAGTTTTTTCTTTTCTCTGTAAGTTTTGGAAATGGAAATGGAATTGGAACTGGAATTGGAGAAGGGTGTCCATAGATGGATAGTTAACATTTCTGAATGGAACCCATCTCCCAATTCCTTCTCTTTTGCTATGTCCTTTCTTCCCCAACATGAACACTTCTCCATTACCAGGTTTCTTCCTCTTCTGTCCTTTTTGTTTTTTTATGTAAAGTTTTCATCTTTAACTTTATTAAACACTTATTTCTTGATTGACTGCATAAAGGGTCCATGGATTTTTTATGAAATGCAAGAAATTTATGTTTTATCAATACAAAGTTTTAATCTTTAAGTTTATTCTATACTACTTTGGTTCTTGATTGCATAAATTGTATATAGATTTTATATGAAATGCTAAAAAAATTGTGTATATCATGTAAAGCTTTTATCTTTTAGTTTATTGTATACCATTTGGTTCTTGGTTGCATAATGTTTCCAAGGGTTTTATGTTTTATTTGAAGTGCTAAATTGATGTATAGCAACAACATACCCTATGTTATCCCACGGAGTGTTTTCTGGAGAGGGTAGAGTGTACGCAGACCTTACATCTACCTCTGTGGTAGAGAGGTTGTTTCCGATAGACAAAAATAGTTAAGAAAAAGATGTAATGGAAGTACGAGACAATAGAAAATAACAAAAACAACAGATAGTAGTAGAATAGTAGTACAACAATAATCCTATTATCGAACTACAATTGATGCATTTCAAGTAAAATGATTTTTAATTTTTTCTGTACGTTTTCCTTCTTGATTGCATAAAGCTGTCTATGGAAGTAAATTGTGAGTTTATACTTTGTTATACTTGCCTTAATTTTGAATTGTGAATATGCACTTTGTATTTCAAGTAAAGTTTTCATCTTTAGGTTTATTCTAGAATTCTTTAATCTCTGTTACTAAAAAGTGTCTACCATTACTTGCTTAAGTATATATGGGTGGTTAAAGAAGCTTGTTGTGGAATTTGGCTATCAAGATTACATATGTAAAAAGTTGAGCAGATTTGTCACTCATTGACTAGGTTCTTTAAAATGGAAGATCGAAAACGAGCTCTTGTGAGCAGATTGTTGCAGTATGCACTGATACATCAAGTCTTGGGGATCCCATATAACACAATTGTCATCAAGCGCACTGCTGAAGGGAAACCATACCTGGTATATTTAGAATGTGGTTGGGTACAGTGCTGAACATGCACTTACTTTTGGTTCTCATTTGTTGTTGTATTTATGTTTTGATGTTTGCTTATAAAGGTATCTTAATAGTGTGTGTTTTATTATTAACTAACTGGACACTCGCATTCTTCCACGTGTTCCTGTAGAGTCGAAAACTAGAGGTGGAAAAATGACTCGTCCTTGGCTGGAATTTCTCTATGAAGATAGGAATTATTTGCAGTATCCTTATACTATAAATGAAGACAAATTCTTGGTATATGACATGAAAAACATGTTCAACCCTTTTTCCGGGTGGTATATACAAAATTCCTGCTGTGCTCAATTGATGAATTAGTTTCTCACCTGTGTCAAACATATACTTTCCGTAATAAGTTCTCTCTCTCTTTGTTTTGGTCCCGCCTCATTAGCCATGAAGAAAGTTGTCTCTTCGCCAAGTCACGCTCTTCTCTCTTATTTGAACACCACTTATTTATCAGTGAGGAAGTAATCAAGTGATGAATATTGGGCAAAAGAATTTAGTATGTACTGGTTTGTTCTTGTAGATCTTTTCCCCCTTGTATTAGCGGATGCAGCTGTCCTTTCCCATATGCAAATAAACCAACTTATCCAAAGTAGACTCCGTAAAATCCATGAAGATTAGACAATTCCAACTTTCAAGAACTTACATCTGTTATTTTGATCATATCATATATGGTTCACCAGCATTTACATAACTCGTCTTCGGAAAATTCTCCCAATTACTGGTACTTTCTCATATTTTTCATGTTTACATCATTGATAAAGATTCAGAATCACCTATTCTGATTCAGCTGAAAAGATTTCTCATTATATATGTTTGAAATTATATTCTTGATGCCAGAGTAACATTGATTGTTTAATTTGAGTATGTTCTTCATGCTACCTGCTTTGCTGTTGGTTGCAGTCGATATCTTCACATTTGAAATATCGTTAATCCCATCCTCTTCTAGGAATGTGACAAACCGAACTTGGAGTTGCCAAATTTTAACTTCAATGCATCACATCATGGTGATTTTGTGGCTATTGCTTCTGAACCCAATATGCCTTGTGGGATTGGATGTTGTTTCTCAAACCATCCCTGAGAAAGAATCAGTGGAAGAATTCATTCAGAGCTTCTCATCATACTTCTCAAGGCTGGAATGGCTTAATATAATCAATGCTGGCTCTTCTCGTCAGATTTTGAGTGAGTTTTATAGGTACCTCTCTATATATAGATCTTATTTAATGCAAATGTAAACGCCACTACTGAAAGCATTTTATTCTTGATTAACCTCAAACTCGTACAACTATGTGATTTTCAAAGCGTTCTTCCATGTTTGAGTTAGAGATCACAGAGAGAGTACTATGTATAACTTGTTTTCTCTTCCATTACTCATTAGAGTTTGGTGTCTCATTTATGGATAAGCCTTGGCTGAATAGATATTCTTTTTTAGAACATTATTGACAAGTTACATAAAGAGAACTTCTCTAAAAGATCGGCTCTTTTATCCAAGAACTTATTAGAGCTCAGATGGCAAATGATTAAGTTAAAGGAACCGTCATACCTCATTTAGAGAAAGAAAATCAACCTTTGTACTGCTGAGTTCTGGGAACGACCATATATAGGTCATTCAAACTGCTCAACAATCATTTTCCTTAGGAAAATATGACAAGTTGGTTTCTAACATTTTATGATGCGTGGCGTAGTGTGATATTAGCTTCTGCTGTTACCAACTCATCCCCTGCTTATTTGCTTGTTAAATATGTTTTACTGGAAAAGAAGGTGAAAAAATGCAACTCACTTGTACTTCCTTCAACAACTCCATGGGAACGATCTCTTTGAGGAGACTAAAACTGTAAAAGTTGTAGGCAAGTAATAACTTCTAAAGCATCTCCGTCACTTGTTTGTAAGTCGTAACAGTCATACTGAGATTTGGTCTAGCTACTAGCAACTAGCAACAATTGCCTTGACCAACCACCTTTTCTTTACTGCAATAGTATTGCCATTTGTTCTACGTTCATAGTTTCAAATTGGATGTTACAATTTCTACGTCTAGCCTTGCCAAATTAATCTCTACTTTCCTGAAATGAGTAAGTCTTCAACCTTCATGAGGGTTCCGAATTTATCCTTCCAGCATCGACATGAATCAAAGAGTAATCTATCACATCACTTGTCGGAAAAAGGTTCATACTTCACAACCAACTCAACAAACTAGTAGAGTTGAATTTGATGTAGAGGGAGTAGAGAATTAGATATTAGGAACATCTTTTTTTTTTGGTGATTAGTTGAATGACAGGTTTTGTCGCCCAACAAACAAAATTCATGCTAAATTATAGAAAGATTACACTGACAGATCTGACAACTTATGCAGATATTGGAGTGTAAAGGAAGCATTTGTCAAAGCCATTGGTGATGGTGTGGGTTACAAATTGGACACCATCGAATTTCATCACAAAAACTGGGAAAACATAGTTGTCAAGGTTGATGGCAAAGAACTAGAAGATTGGAGATTTTGGCTTCTTGAATTGGAGAAAGATCACGTGGTTAGTTCTTCAATAGTGCCAATTCTCGTCTAGTTTCCCTTTTAACTGTTAGTGATGCTTGTTCCAAAAGGAGAGTAAATAATAAAGAACCGTTTAAGTGCACGTTTTGAATCTCTGATGCTATATCAACTAGAAGCTTACATATAATCAACAACCCCTCTTTCATAAACTAGGAATTTAGTTGTTTAACTTGTGAACGCGCGTTAATTACTTCCATTCTATCACAACATGCATTCCTTGTCTCTCTTAGAACCTTACTTTTAATTACCTGAAACTTGTGACAGAATTTTATGAGTTAGTCATTGAGCCGAAAGGAGTATATCTTCCAAAAACTATATAATCGTGAAGCTGAAGGTGGTTAAACTGGAATGCAACTTGTAGGAGTTCACACAAAGTAAAGCGCAATATCCCTTCTTCCATGTCAACAAACTCGTGCTACGAAGCACAATCTCCTTCTTTGAAGCTGCTCATTTGAATTTTGAACTGCACATGCTAGAGAACGATAGGGAACTAACACTCGACATTGTTGAATATTTAAGTTTCATGTTATTCTGGCAAGCTGTCCAGATAGCAAACGGAGTAGCTACCTTAATTGCACGGATAGTAGAACCTTTTTTCAATTGTATTATTTTTGCAATATGACTGACTATTCTGTAATGTTGCAGGCATCAATAGCTAGGGGTCACCCTATGTATGCCACCAGCAGTTACAAGACAACGTTGAATCGGACAAAGTTCAATGACGAGGAATACAATTTAGGACTTCATCTTCCTAATGCAAGATTCATTTTCCGGAAGGTAGAAGACCTTTTTCCCTCCAATGGACCAGGTAGAGTACCACCATGTTGATCACAAAATTGTGTCTGTGTCGAGGGATTAAGAAGAGGTCAAAGAAGCTATTGTATTGTACCAAGTGCTAGAGATTTTCTCCGAAAGACGTGATCCAATTAAAAGACGAGAGCTACTCAAACTTCTAAGCTAGGAGCGGACCTAGCTTAGAAGTTTGTGAATTCACATGAATCCAGTAACTTTTGCCAAATCCAAAGTTGAGGAGTTCGCACACTTTATTACGAGTTCTTGTACTTGGTTTATTCATACATTAGAGAGAAAATCATATCAAGAATCATCTTGAGCTCAAACATTTAAATGATATCTAGAAAATCATATTTCTGTTTGGTTTAGGTATTTCGTCTAGTAGATTGGTATTTTTTTTGTCCCAATTTATACGATAATTTTGCTTCTTTTTGTCTATTTTAAAAAATAACATTATCTTTTATTAATGAGAAATAATTTAATTTTAAAATTTCACCTTTATTCTCAATGAAACAATTTATAGTCATAAAAATAGCCAAAGAGAATTTTAGACATAAATTTCACAAGTCTTGCTATATTTTCTCTTAAATTTTGTGTCAAGTCAAACGGTTGTTAAATAAATTTGCATGGAGGGAGTACCAGGTATGTCCTGAAATATGTACCACTTTAGTAAAAATCACGTCCATTAGAAAATCAATAAATAATACTCCCTCCGTTTCATTTTATGTTGCACCATTTGACTTGACACGATGTTTAAGAAAAAAAGAAAGACTTTTGATATTTGCGGTCTAAAACAATCTTTAGGTATTTGTTTGGTTGTAAATCATTTCATTAACAACAAAAGGAGAACTTTAAAATTAAATTGTTTCTAGTATTAGTAAGATGATATTCTTTTTTGACGAATTAAAAAAAAGGATGTCACATGAAATGGGACAGAGGAGTATATAATTTGAATGCTTCTTAAGAAATGACCACAAGTATTAAGAAAATGAAATATAAGGTATAGTTGAAAAATATACAATTTTTAAGATAATTTTCTTACAAAAAATAATAATAATAAAGAATGTCACTTATTTTGTAACAGGAATATAAGTTATGCCGCCTGGTCGTTCACATCCGAACCAAAACCTATTTCTCTGCACATTCGTATTCCTCAAAATCTTGAATAACTTTGTAAGTAAGATGATATTCTTCTTTAATGAATTAAATAAAAAAAGATGTCACATGAAATGGGACAGAGGAGTATATAATTTGAATGTTTCTTAAGAAATGACCACTAGTATTAAGAAAATGAAATATTAGGTATAATTGAAAAATATACAATTTTTAAGATAATTATTTTACAAAAAAAAATATCACTTATTTTGTAACAAGAATATAAGTTATGCCGCCTGGTAGTTCACATCCGAACCAAAACCTATTTCTTTGCACATTTGTATTCCTCAAAATATTGAAGAACTTTGTAAGTAAGATGATATTTTTCTTTAACGAATTAAAAAAAAAGATGTCACATAAAATGGACAGAGGAGTATATAATTTGAATGTTTCTTAAGAAATGTCCACTAGTATTAAGAAAATGAAATATAAGGTATAGTTGAAAAATATACAATTTTTAAGATATATATTTTTTACAAAAAAAAAAAAAAAAAAATATCACTTATTTTGTAACAGGAATATAAGAAAAAATATAGTAAGACTTTTGATATTTGCGGTCTAGAAACAATATTTAGGTCCAAAATTTAAGAAAAAATATAGTTAGACTTGTGAAATTTGTGTATAAAATTCTCTTTGGCTATTTTTATGACTATAAATTGTTTCATTGAGAATAAAGGTGAAATTTTAAAATTAAATTATTTCTCATTATTAAAAGATAATGTTATTTTTTTAAATAGACTAAAAGAGATAAAATTATATATATATATACTAGACATCGGAGCCCGTGCTAGCACAGGCCCAATATGTATCATTTTTTGTTTCAATTTATGTGACAAAGACAAAATTAAAGAGTTAATCTAAACTTTAATATTAATTTAAAATAGTTTAAATTTTTAATTATTGTTAACTATGGTAAAAATTTTTTTATGTCTTTTTAACATTCTAAAATTGCTAATTATTGTTGTATGATTTGTAATATCTTTTATGCAATTTTGAAATAATAAAGATTATTTTTTCTTTCTCAATTTATGTGGTACTAATAAAATTTAGAGATTCAATCAA